CTGCACTCCAGCCTGGGTGACAGAGCGAGACTCCATCTCGGAAAAAAAAAAAATTCTTGAGTCAAGAGCTCTATTTCTTAACATTTTAACATAGCCACCCAGAAATTTAGTTAGGGGCTTGCATCTGAAGGTGATGGAGTGTTATCTTAGATTGCAAAGGGAAGGAGTAAAGTTCCAGAAACAGATGCAAACTGTGAGAAGCGCAGTTTTGTTCTTCTCTCCTGAGGATTATAGTATGTTCAGTTAGGAAGCGTTTGTAGGTATTATTTACTAAAGGAATGTGAACAATGATATGGAAGATCCTGTTTTTAAAAAGTGTATACATTTGTTTAGAACTTTATAGTTCATGAAGCTATTCAAATACAGTGTCTGGCTTGATGATTAAAACCCCATGAAGTATTAATAGATGGGACAGGATTATTATTCCCATCTATTGGGTGAGGAAACTGAGGTTTGGCTGCGTATTTGAAGATAAATAGCTACAACCTTACATCTTCAAGGTTGTAATTTATTGCTCTTTCAAATTACATACCCAATCATTTTATTAGATGTATGACTTTTCTTAGGACTAAACATGAATTTAGAAAAAACAGCTTTTATGTTTTAGATAGAATCCTTAAGTTTATTTTATATTTCCTAAAATGTTATTAAAACCTCATTTTATTAAGGGTTGTAGTAGGGGATTGTTAGTGCTACTTTCATGACCTTGAACTGTGCACCAGTTAAGTAATTTTACCCTAGTTGATTTGCCATAAGGATACTTTGGACTTTGATAAAAGGGCCAATTGTTTGATCACTTTCTTTTCATTTTTAAAACGGCTGTGTTGGATAATCACTCAGTAGTACATACATAAATGCAGTGTTTATGGCTATTAGTGATGGGGAAAAAATCACGAGGAAATTTGATTATCTTACAACAGAAGGTAGAGTATATATGAGTACAAATTTGGAATACATTTTTTAAAGGAGGCAAATAGTAGATGCTCAATAAATATTGGTTAATGAATACCATTTCTAAAATTAATGAATGAGTTAATTGATGTTTATGAGTTATGCTATTAGGAAGTAAAGATACAAGCATGAAAATATGGTGATTCCAGGATGACACAGTGTATGTAAATAGATTACACTAGGTTACCCCATAATGAGACACATGTGTAATTGGTTTCAGTAAAATTCATACTGGTTCAAAATAAACTCTTAATATAGGAGTTTTTCAGTAATTCACTAAAATCAAGTGAAACGACTATCTTTGATGCTTTTGGAGCTTTTAATACTATTTTTCAGAATTTTTATTGTGATGATTTGCCATATTTACTTCTCTGTATTTTCTTAGTAAGTGCCATTTGAGCGGTATGGACGGTAATTCTGTATGGTTTCAGAGGAATGAGCTGCCATTTACTAGAATATTTGTGGAAGAATTGAGATATCTGCACCTTAAAATACGGCATAATCTAGCCAATCAGAAACATGTGGGGAGACATTCTAGACAAATGGAATACATTAAGGTGTGGAGGAAATATTTAAAAGTAATTTTGATTAGAACAGAAGGTTTGTGTTGTGGAAAAAAATGGCTAAAGAGGCAATTTGGGGCCAGGTGATAGAGACTCTTGAATACCTGGAAGGATTTTGGATTTTGTTCCGAAGGCCTATACTCTTCTAATTGGCATATGCATTCTTGTGAGGGCAGAACTATATGGGACGTGCAAGTCCTCAGGATAAACATGACATATCTTCTAGGAGCATCACTTTTTAGAATACTTGGGGGAAAATAAATATTTTTATATGAAGATTTTTTTTGAGACAGAGTCTCACTGTGTTACCAAGGCTGGAATGCAGTGTTATGATCATGGTTCACTACAGGCTCGACTTCCCGGGCTCCAGCGATTCTCCTGCCTCAGCCTCCCAAGTAGTTGGGATTACAGGCACCTGCCACCGCACCCAGCTCATTTTTGTATTTTTTGTAGAGGTGGAGTTTTTCCATGTTGCATAGGCTGATCTTGGGACTCCTGGGTTCAAGCAGTATTCCCGCCCCAGCCTCCCAAAGTATTAGGATTACAGGTGAGCCACTGCAGACATGAAGATAGATTTATAAAGTATAAAACACAATTCACATGCAATTTTAAAGTAAAATTCTAAGATTTAAGCTAAGATCCAATAAGATTCTGAAAGAAATTTGTGCATATAGTAAGTTATTTTATCCTGTAACTCTGGAACCTAAAAGGATTTGTTTTCATTATCCTCTGCTCTTATACTTCTTCAGTAGATGAGCTTGAAAGACACAGGTCCAAGCAATATGCAGCCATTACAAATTTCTTTTCAGAAGATTGACAGGGAGAGGGACATAAAATTAGGAGGAAAGAGGAGACTAATATAATCTAGCACTCAAGTTAAAGACAGACTTTGGGGAAGAAAGCTTATAAGATTAAGAGATGTTTCAAGAGAAGATTGTATTGAACTTGGTGGCTTATACAAAAGAAGTAGTTTATGAAGTTGAGGGAAAAGCTAGAGATGTCTTCCAGGTTTCAGGCTTCTGTGACTGGGAACATGCTGGTCATATTAATGGATATAAAGAAGTGAGAAAGATGGTGTGACAGAGTCGAAAGGAGGGAAAGTTGGGTAGAAAGAGATAGCAGTAGCAGTCAGGGGCTGGTGAATTATTTATTTTTTTGAGTCAGTCTTGTTCTGTCACCCAGGATGGAGTGCAGTGGTGTGATCTCAGCTCACTGCAACCTCCGCCTCCTGGGTTCAAGCAATTCTCCTGTCTCAGCCTCTTGAGTAACTGGGACTATAGGCACATGCCACCACACCTGGCTAATTTTTGTATTTTAAGTGGAGACGGGGTTTCACCCTGTTGGTCAGGCTGGTCTGAAACTCCTGACCTCAGGTGATCCACCCGCCTCGGCCTCCCAAAGTGCTGGGATTACAGTCATGAGCCACCGTGCCCGGCCTGTTATTTTTGATATGTTGAATTTAAGTGAAGTATAGGTTATTAAAGGGAGAAATGGCAGATAGGCAATGTAAGAAGGGGAACTGGAAAGAGACTTAGGATGAATACGTAGATTTTGGAACTTTATTCATGGTACATAGATGAGTCCGTGAGAGCAGATAGAATATCTGAGAGTCAGTGTAGAAAAGATGATTAAAGGTTGTCCATTGGCCCACAGTACTAAATATGAGAAAGGAATAGGGTTATAAAGATGGATTCAAGTAAGGGAAAATCCATGGAGAGTATAGTATTGTGAAAGCAAAATGAAGGTCAAGTTTGAAAAAAAGATATTCACATTAGTAAGTAGTAGAGAGATGAAAGGGAAGGTAGACTCAGAGATCAAAGGGGATTAGACTTTGCTTAGATTAGACAACTGTGAGTTAGTGGTGGAATTTGAGCACTTTAAGCAAAGTAGTGAGGACAGGAGACAGTCGTGTGAACCATAAAGAAAAGAGCTCCTTTCTCCTCTTCTGCCAGAAGTATCTTTCTGGTAAAAGAAAGCTTTGTATGGGGAAAAAATCTAATTTACTACTCCTAAAAGGAACAAAACGAAACATGTCCTATGAGAGTGTTTTTTTTTTTTTTTAAAGGAAACCAAATAGTGGAAGCAACTCATATATTAAATAATGAATTATTTTGCATTTGAAATTGTCCAATTTTTGGGGAAGAGAGGAGCTATTTTGGTATTCTGGCCCTAAAAAAAATCAATGTTAATTTTGACAGCTTAGTCTGTGGTCCTGAAAATTATGGATTATTTTTACCTTTATTATTTTGTACTTTTCTGGAACAAAATATTTACATAGGATTCACATAAATCGTGTATATCTTTTATATATGCAACATATAAAAATATATATGACATGTATATTGGATAATTTGAAATACATAATGCTAAATATTGACAAAGGTAGGTCACCGTATAACTTGGGCACTATATCCTTTAACAAATGGGTTTAATTTAAAATTTCTTACTGGTAGTTTTAAAAAATATATTTAAAAATAAATTCTGACAATTTATACTCTGGCAAAAAAAAATTTGTATCTAATCTTTAGGGATTTAGGGCTTAAATGACTTAAAAATAACAATACATCTTTTGTGATGAATAATTTAATTTGTGCAAGACTAATTTAAATTTTTATAATTTAGAAGACTGGGTCTTTATTTATTGAATTTTAAACATATATACATACTTGTCAGGCTGTTTAGTCAGTAACTTGTTACAAGGTTTATTTCTGCTTGAAAACCTACATGAATATATTGGAATCGCAGCATATTTAGGGGAAATATAAACTTTAACTCGATGTCACCAATATGTTCATTCCTATTGTAATCTGACAAGATACGTTTACAATTACTTGTTTTCATAGTATTAAGTATTAAAATACACAAAATGTATACAGTATACGTTTTAACAAATATGTTAAGGTATAGTGATACCTCATATTAAAGTCAATGTGACTTAGTAATCATCATCTCCATTTGTTTAAAAGACAGCGAACCTATTTTAATACAGTATTTAATCCTGCTTCATTAGGTTTCATAAATAAATCCTATCAAAAATTTACTCCAGATTATTTTGTAGCAAAATGAGGCATCAGTTTAAAAATTTATATTACAGATTTTTACACATACTCTGTGCTGACAATTTTTAGTTTTGAAATTAATATTACAACAAATTTAAGAACTGTATAATTATCAGTCCTCTTTATTTAGTCAAGTTTAGAGTTTTAACAAGAAAACTAGTTTTTTAAACTGGGAAAATTGTGATATTAGCTCATATGATGACTTTTAAAATTAAAGTCTCTAAGTTTTTTATTTAGAAAAGTTATTTAGTAAGTTCACCTGTTGATTATAATTTAGATTGCGACCATCTAAAATTGATTCCCACATCACAAAATATAAAACAAATAGTGTTGTAGGAATTTTGATTGAGAAATGTAAATGGTATTCTTTAAGGTTATGTGATTGTATGTTTAATCTTAAATTGACAGTGACTTTAAGATAAAAAAATCTATTTCTCAAGCCTTCTCTTAAGGATTTAATACCAGATTATTAAACCACATTAACTTGGAATGAGTTTAATGTTTAATTTATTGCCTTTTAAATTTGCCTCAGTTCATTCAAAGCTTTCTGAATCTGTTGGATGGATCAACATTTTGGTTGATTTTATAGAGTATAACCTTCCATTTTGAGACTTCCAGGATAATCCTCTTCTCCGCTCTGGCTTAGATTTTGTTCTTGGTTTGTTATATTTACCATTTAGGTTGTTTTCTCCACACTCATCATGCCACCACCAGCCTCCTAAAGGAGATAGATACGCAGTTTAGTGGGTACAGACTCGTATGTAGTTACTGTATTTCCCCATGAGTTTATCTTCCTTTTTAATAAATATTATAGTGTTTTAGATGCATGTATCCCAGTTTTAAATAATCTGTATAAGTCCCAGTTTTAAATAATCTCTATAAATAATCTGTAAACCACCAAAAATAGAAAATCTGAGGAAGATTAGAGGTAAAATACCTGGTTGAACTAGAATGAACACTTCCATTATGGTTAAGAGGTTTTCATCTAGAAAGAAAACGCTTATTTGGGATTCGGATTTTTAAAAGTTGTCATTGCAGATAGTAGCTAATAATGTGGGCAGATACTTTGAAGATATGAAAATAAAGTATTGTTATCAGAAAAAGATACCTGAATAACTCTCTGGACAGCTGAAGTGTCCTTTTGCTTTGTGATCCCAAGTAGAAAACACCAAATCTTTGTTTTCCGGGATTGCATTGGGGACATTGCCAGTAATCTTAACTACATGTAGCGTATAGTTGGTTTCGTGATTTCCCAAGTAAAAAGAATATTCAATATAATGTTTGTTGTCTTTCCAGTCTTCCAACTCAATTCGTAAAACGTAATTAGATTGCTTCACTATGGAGTATATCTTCTCTAGGCCCAACCAGAATTCTCCTGAAAAGAAAAGTTTTAAAAATCTGTGAATTATTAACTACAGGTTGGACACTGTTTTTTTAAGTGTTTTTTATTGGTGCAACTAATTGAGTTGTTTAGTCTTGAATCCCTTGATCATTTTAGAGTATCTTAAAATAATACCTTTTAAAACAATTTTATTGAAGATATCTATATGCACAATAATGTTAAAAATATTAATAGAACTGAAAGTCAGATTATCCTTTCTATAATGCATATTACAAGACATATTTAACCAGTGAAATATGTTACATTATTATAGATACTTTAAAGTCTCGTCATTGGTAGAGGAATATTTTCTTGTAAGTCTTTATATGGATAAACTTTACTATCAGGTATTTATTAACATCCATATACAGTCAAGAGATTTTTGTTAAGTATTCCCAGAGACTTGAGTAATAATAAGTCTAAACCTGGCCTTTGGTATTTGCTTAATATATGTTTTCTTTGTAGAAAAAGACAGGAATAAATTTTAAAAATCATTTTAAATGAAAAAGCATGGTTCTTAATAACTTTTTTCTATAATTTTAAAAATTATTTTTATTTGGAATTAAAAACATAAATAACAAATATAAATAGACTTTTTATCACAATCCTTTTTATTAAAGTATTTAGTAAAATGCTTAATAAATTACTGTTTTCATTAAACAGTCACTGTTGTCTTATTGCTATTGAGTTAGTAGGAAGCTTCATTTTAAGGATTGCTGGTAAATACAAGTACAAATGGGTTAGTTTCTTACCAGAATTAAGTGAGTATTCTTAACTTACCTGTCAGCCTTTTATTTTGGGGTTACACTCACTATTAGAAGATTTGGAGCTACAAAACATATCACGGAGTATACCATCTAGGTAGGGCTTTAACGGGTAATTTGAATACAAAATTTTTAAATGGGCAAATAGTACTGAGCATTTAAAAATTTGATATAATAATGAATGTCTTCTACTTTATAAGTGAGTACTTAGACATCATTCATGGATTTTTGTATGTGCTTTTTGGATTTTAAACATCTGTTATTTTATCTTGCTTATTTAACATTATTTTGTAATCAGAATAATTTGCATTGAGTTAACTAATTCATTATAAGCCACACATTCTATATATTACATTTAAATAATTGAAATTTTAAAATTTATACTGTATGTCTGAGTTTCTTGGTCCTTTTAACTTCCAATTAATTGATACGTAAAACGTTAATGAGAGAATAGAGTGACTAATGCTAGGAGTGGTTCTTTTCACAGCTTATTTGTAACAGTTACTACTTATATAACATTTAATCAGAATTGTCTTTAATAATTATAGTTATGATCATTGTAAGCCATCAAATTAAATTGTGATAAGTATATTTAAGAACAGACATGTAACTGTGATAAATATAAATCAAATTATAACAGTTGTAATAATTTACTAACAAATGTGTAATTGTTTGATAATAAATTATATGAAGGCTGAGACTGCTGCTTCTTCATTACTACTTTTCCTAATGCCCAGTCCACAATAGGTTCTCAGTAAATATTTGTAGATTAGCAAATGAATGAATGATTGAATGTAGTCACCTTACCATCAAGCCTCCCGAAACCATATTTGTAGTTCTCCCACGTTTCATTGAAGTTTTGTGATCCATCTATTCGATGTTGAATTAATGTCCATGGACTACCTGAATATAATGAATGAAATCATGTATTTTTAGTAGATTGATATTGACAGATGTAAATAACACTTTTTTGTTTGTTTGCTTGATTTTAGTTGGTGGCTTTGTAAGGTAGTTTATTAATGTTATGGCAATACATTTTATTATTTATTATGGTCCCAAAAAGTTAAGTGAAGGGCAATTAATGAATTTTGGCATAGTAAACTTATTGATAATAGTCACTTCAGATTATTTTAGAGGAAAAGGAGAATATTGAGTAAATACATAAATAAGCAAGATAAAAGTATTAGATTTATACTAATACTCATGTTACATATATTTCATATATATATATGTATAAAACAATTATAACCAGGTTAATCTTCCTAATACATACTGAGTAACTTGAACTAACTACTGTCTATTCTCCTTAGACAGGTTTTACCTGATACAACATCACAGTAGACATGAAAAACTTGAGAGTTGCTGGGTCTGATGGCATACATGCCACTTATATGTTCACCTCTATTGTAAATGGTGGTACAATCAGCAGGAATGCCTAGAATCAATAAAATGTTATTACATCAGATTTAGTAATAGGAATAATGTCTTTGGAGCTTGAGATTTCACTTGACATTTTATGAAATTGTGGCAAATGTAGCATTTTTTCCAGTAATGTTTATGTTAAAGCATTTTTCTTCGATGGCATGTTATTTAAGAATGTAAGAATCATTCTTACCAAACTATTTTCTTTTAAAAAATTATTTTTTTAGAGACAGAGTCTTGTTCTGTCACCCAGCCAGGAGTCCAGTGACCTTTAACTCCTTAAATATTTCAGCATGTATCTCTTAAACAGGAGGTTGTTCTCCTTTAAAATTGCAATACCATGATCACGTCTAAGAAAATTAATAAACCTTCTATATTATCTAATAATCAAGTCCATATTTATATTTCTGTGATTGTCTTAGGTATATCTTTTATAGGGTAGAAGAAGAACCCCAGGATCCAATTTAGGATGATCCATTGTATTTGATGGCTATCTCTTAATCTTTTAGTCTAGAACAAGTCCTAAGAATAGGGAATTTGATAATAGCTTCAAGAAGGAAACCCACCAAAGTGTCTTACCATCATGTTTTACATTTCTTATTTCATTCAGCTGAAGAAAGGGAGTAGTTCTTGGTGCTCTTGGCTTGGAAGATAGAGAAATTTCTGTGGGTTCTTGAATATTAGTCATTCTGAGCTGATAAAAGAATATAAATCTGTTTTTTAAAATGATACTGAATACATAATTAGGGGAGATCTGAGTAAGGATGTCAAAAGTACAGTTTGTCTTTCAGTTCATAATGTTATGGTGTTTGATATTTAGATAAACAGTGTTATTCAGATTGTACAGATTACCTGTTCTCAAAATATTTAATCAGGGACATTATTTAATAAATTAAAAAAATAAAACAAGGCAAAAAAGCAGACATTGGTCAGAAAACAGAACAAGGCCAAAAGTAGAGACTGCTTTGCTTAGAATGTTGTAATGTATTTTTTTTTATATGAATAGAATATGTTTGATATTCTGTTCAGATTTTAAGTTCAATAATTTTCAGTTTTAGGTCTTACTGATCTTCAGACCTGCTTTAAAGACATAATACATAATTTGAACCTGGCTTTCTTGATAATTTGATAATTTTTGACCTGTAAACACATCTGTAGATGTTGGCAGGTTGGCAAGTTTATTTGCTTTCTTTCCATATATTCAGTAGTTTATCGTTAGTTTTGCAATAACATTTTATTTAAGTGTGTTGGGTTTGCAATTTATTGAATGATAGTTTTTCTCATTGACAGTAAGAAAAGCAGAATATATAATATCTTGCATTATGAGTGTTAGTTTTTTGATCCTGGCATAAATGACATTTCCTAGGACCTTATTTAAAAGGATCTATTGTAAAGTTTACTTGCTGGATATTACTCTTTTCTACTAAGTAACTATGTGATTTTAACGTTACTCAATTTTTTAGAGTTTTGTTTTTTTAATTTAAATATGAGAAAGTTAAATCAAATGATCTAACTCTTCTTCCAACTCAGAAATTCATTGTTTTGGTTTCTTCACACATTTTTATTTTTAGACAGAATATATATTACTGTAGTAACATATTGCTTTGGGGAGCAGATTCATTTAATCATAGTAAAAGATATAATTGAAAAGAATTTAGAAAAATAGCATCATAAGAAGGAAAGTATGGAAACCAAAAGTAGTTGGTAAAAATCCTTTTAGCAGCACTACTAAAATTATGTTTGTTTAGTGGAAATTGGTAATAATATTTGTTTTATATCTCTTGAAAATGATTTTGTTTACCAGTTTCTCTGAGTTTATATTATTTTTTCTGAATCCTCTTGAATGACTGTTTAAGAGTATTATTAATATTTTTTAACTATTTACTGTATATTAGAATACTTAGATTCTGACATAGCTTTATTCTAAACAAGTGCTTCCCCCCTCACTTCACCAGTTGTTTACATTGTAGATTAATTACGTTGTTGAATGTTGACCTTTAATTATGAGGCACACTATTTCTAGTAATCCAAGTAATAATAATTATAGCACACACTCTGTGTGAATATGACATTACATTTATTAATTCAACAGAAATGCCTAGTATGTGCCATACAGTATTCTATATTCTGGAGTATATACAAATAATGGAAAATATGAAGATAATGGAAAAAAATCCCTTTATTCACAGAGCTTACATTTTAGTGCAGGAATAGAAGAGATAAATAACTAAAATTTATGTTAAATAAAGGTGAGTGTGCAGGAGAAAAGTAGTTAAGGAAGTAGAAGTTTTCAGGGATGGGACCAGGCAGTTGTAATTTTTGGTTAAGTGACCTTGGAAATCTTCATTGAGAATTTTATGTTTGATAACGACCCTAAGGGAGATCAAAGAGTGGGCCCTGTAGATACCAGGACAAAAGAGCATTCCAGATAGAGGAAACAACAAGGGCAAAGGCTTCGAGGTGGCAGCATGTTTGATGTGTTTGAATACCGGTAAAGCGATCAAAATGACTAGAGTAGAGGAGGTGAAGTCAGTGAGATGATGAAGGGTCGGGTAATCTTGGTCTAAAGAGCCAATATGAGTGAGATGGAAAGCTATTGTGTGGTTTTGAGCAAGGAGAAACATGATCTAATTTGAATTTTAATAGGATGACATTGGCTGCTATGAATTAATTATTTTCTTACAATAATCCTATAAGTTCTCTTACTATTTTTGTAGTGTATGTGAGGAAACTGAGAGACAAAAAGGTGAAGTAATTTATTCAAGGTCACACAAAGTTTTGGAGCCATGGTTTAAATGCAGGTAGTTCATTAGCTTCAGATCCTGCAATTTTAACAGTTAGGCTGATGTGATCATTTTACTCATGATCCAGTTAAAGCTTGTAAATAATTTTAGGATTCAATGTTTTTACAAACCTGTGTGAAAGATGGGACATACCATTAAAATATTGACTTACCTGATTTTCTATTTCTTTTATTTGACTATGCTGTTGGTTTAATTGCTTATATTGTTCTTCCACAGTCTGGAGAAGGTCTTTGATGCTATTATCTTGTTTTTCTACAAAACTCTGAATATAGAGATTAGATTGGTTATAAGTTACTTTCTTCTTTCTTTTCTATTAGAGTTTTAATTTCCTGTAACACTATCATAATCTAAATTTTTAAACTAATAATGGATTTGAAAAATGAATATTGGCAATTCCTTCCCCTTGTATGCTTCTTTCAAATAGCATGTATTTTTGTTCTTAACATTTTATTTAAATTGTGCTATCTCTAAGATTTGTTTTTCTGAACTTCAATTAAGAGAAAAAGCCCAGCATATTTTAATAGGAATAAATCTTTTCCATTTACTGTATTACTTTAATCTGTTTTAAACACTAGAGAATAGTTTTAAATTTTTAAAAAATTTTACTTACCTTCAGTAATTTGCAATAGTGTAATGACATAGTGTTCTAGATTGTGTTACTTAACCAATTTGTAATTTTCATATAAAATGTAAAGTTTCAGTGTTTTCATATATAACATTAGGGAAACAAAAACTAACAAAATTATAATGGGAAATTTTATTTTCTGGAGATTATTTTTCTTGGAAAAAAAAGTATTCCAACAATGCAACAAAGTATTTCAAGTAGCATGCCTTAGAAATATTTTTTTTTAATGTTCCACATTGAAAACATAAACATGAACCCTCTTTATTTTCTACTTACTTTAAGTGAAGTTACTTCTGGATGTTCTGGAGTTTCAGGTTGATTTTGAATTAAGTTAGTTAGTTGCTCTTCTAAATATTTCACTTTTTGTTGAAGTAGAATTTTTTCTTCTAGGAGGCTTTCAAGTTTTGAGTTGAGTTCAAGTGACATATTCTTTACCTCTTCATTTTTGACTTGTAGTTTATATGTAGTTCTTCTCAGTTCCTTTTCTTCTTCTTTGATTTCACTGGTTTGCAGTGATAGATCATAAAAAGACTGATCAAATATGTTGAGTTTTTGAAATATGTCATTAATTTGGCCCTTAGTCTTATGGACAAAGTCTTTAAGACCATGTCCCAACTGAAGGAGGCCATTGGCTAAAATTTTTACATCGTCTAACATAGCAAATCTTGATTTTGGCTCTGGAGATACAGAATCAAATGATGAATTGTCTTGGTCAATTCTGGAGGAAATAACTAGAGGAACAATAAAAAGAAGGAGCTTAATTGTGAACATTTTTATCCTGATTTTCAATTTCAAGCAACGTGGAACTGTGTTCTTCTGGAAGCAGACCTAGACTTCTTAACTCTATATATACCAATATTTGCCACAGAAAAGGCAAGGTTGGCAGGTGAATATAGTTAATCATTAAGCCATGTTAACTTGCACGAATGTAACCTTCTTCCACATTGAGTTACATCAATGCTAAATGAAATCAAAGAAATGAGCAACTAACTTAATAGGTAATTTGAAATTGTATTTAACTTTGCTGTATTATAAACTGCACATTCAATGATATGGTGACTACCTGTTTTTAAAAGCTGATTTTACTTTTTTATGATTTTAAGAGATTTACAAGTCAAAAATAAACTTTTGTTGAGTAAATTTATTATTAAAGTTGAGGAAAAGAATTAATTAAGTATGCGTTTCTCAAACTGCACTTCGGTTCTTTTGGAAACATTGATCCATCCCAAAAAACACTTTCTCTCTGAAGCCTTTCTCCATTCCCTCGGGTAGTGGTACAGCTCTCAATGCTGTATTCCTTTGGTACTCTGTATAAATCAACGTATAATTATGTACTCCTTATTTTTGTCACTATAATTGTTAATATGGTTTTTTTGCATCACCTTATATGTCTTAATCATCCTTGTATATTATCACAAAATCCCACATATAGTAAGTGTCATTAAAGACATTTCACTCCCCTTTCTCCACTGTGTTCTCTGTCTCTCTGTTCTAGGCTCTTTATCATGTGTTTACTGAAGGAACAATGGATATGTGGTCTTCTAGGATCAAACAGAATTGAATCTTAAATACTTTCAATGTCACAAGCAACTTACCCATCATAAGTTTTTCTGAAGTTTGTGAGCTTAGTGTAACAATTTTGATAATATACATTTAACAAAAAGAAGAGATTAATAACTTTGTTTTTTTAAAGACGATGTCTTAATGTATTGCCTATGCTGGTCTGGAACTATTGGGCTCAAGCGATTCTTTTGCCTTGGCCTCCCAAAATTTACGGACATGAGCCCAGTCAATTACAGGCGTGAGCCCAGCCAATTAATAATATTTCTAAAAATAAATGTTCCACTGTGCTTCCAACTTAGTGTTAAAAAGAAAAATACTAATATTAGTGATTATTCTTATTAAGTGTTCATATTAAGAACTTTGTGAGAAAATAGTATCCTTTAAAACTACTTAATCTTGACATATTAATATGGTGAAATTGTTAAGAATATGGGTGCTGGAGTCAGACTGTAGTGGGGTCCAAAGCCAGCTCTCGCTGTCTGACCTTGGACAAGTTACTTAACTTCCCCTTGGATTAGTCTCCTCATCTGTAAAGCTGGGGTAATTATAGTACGTAATTCATAGTGTTATGATAATTTAACAATAATACATGTAGAGCACTTAGAACAGTGTTGGGCAAACAGGTAGTGCTCAAAATGCTAGTTATTATGTCACATGAAACTAACTTTTAACCTGTGTATGTGTGTGAGTATATATAATCAACCTTACCTAAAATAAATTTTTCATAAAGTTAATATCTTTTTAACACAGGGAAAAGTTTTATCATAATGAATTTCAGTGTAAATTATAAATTGTTACTACAAAATGAACCATTTCCAAATTTCTTTTCTTTTCTTTTTTTTAGAGACAGGGTCTTGCTCTGTTGTCCAGGCTGGAGTACAGTGGCATGATCATAGCTCACTATAGCCACGAATTCCTGGGCTTGAGTGAGCCTCCTCCCTCAGCCTCCCCAGTAGCTGAGACTATAGATGCATGCCAACACGCCCAGCTAATTTTTAAATATTTTGTAGAGAGTGGGTCTCACTATGTTGTCCAAGCTGGCCTCGAACTCCTGACTTCAAGTGAACTTCCCACATCAGCCTCTCAAAGTGCTGATATTACAGGAGTAAGCCACTGTGCTCGTCCCTAAATTTCTATTCTTAGAAATGCCTCTTCATTGTATAAAATAGAGGCTCTTCTTTTTGATGACTCAGGATTTTGGGTATAATAGTTATAGTACAGGTAGTATTAAGGGTTTTGGGTGTAATAGTTATAGTACAGTATATGTAATACTATAATACAGGTAGTATTCCATAGTGGTTAAGAGCATGATTCTGGAACAAGACTGCCTGAATCAGAATCCTGGATTTGATATTCTTCAGTTTTGTGACCTTTGGTCAAATTACTTCACATTTCTGAACCCCTGTTTTCTCATCTGTCCAGTGAGAATGACACCTATTTTATAGGGTTGTATAAAGATTAAAAGTTTATATTTTCAAAGCACTTAGAACATTACCTGGTGTGTCATAAACACTACATAATATTATATATTAGCCATTTTTGTAATTAGAACTAATCAATGCATTTGTACCCATAGTATAGTATTTTACTGGTGAAAATTAATTGCATATTAAGATAATGTAAATTGGGAAATTTTGTTATAGTCTAGATTTTTTTAGTTTTGGTCTCGTACCTTTTTAATGAATTATGTCTTTTGATTAGGTTGTGTATGATTTTTAAGTGTCCAATATGGAACCACAAAAGGGTAAGAAAATATTCTTCATTTCCATCTTACCCTTTACTCTGGTTCATGTTATGGAATTATAAAAGTGTATGTTGAGCTAGAGAAGAAATTCAAATTTTCTCCTTCTTTAAATAGAAAAGTTACAGTTGTAATTATTTGGCCATGAAATACATATTTCAAAACTTCTCTTAACTAAGCTGTCAGCTTTTATGGCTTAAAACTATTGACCCTGATATTTCATCTACTTGCTAGTTGAAGGAGAAGATAGATGGGCCAACTTCTCTCCCCTATTATACTATAAGCCGTTTATTGGCAAGATTTGTATGTGTTTTTAATGTATATTCCTTATAATGCTTTAGTACAGTAATGCCTCACACATTGTAGAAGCAATGTTTATTGAATGACTAAGAGAATGATAAAATCAACATATAGGGATTTTCCAAGTGCAGAATGTATATGTAGTACTGGTTACCTCTTTTTGATATACTACATTCTTTTTTTTGTTTTGTTTTGTTTTGTTTTGTTTTTTGAGACGGAGTCTTGCTCTGTTGCCCAGGCTGGGGTGCAGTGGCCAGATCTCAGCTCACTGCAAGCTCCGCCTCCCGGGTTTACGCCATTCTCCTGCCTCAGCCTCCTCAGTAGCTGGGACTACAGGCGCCCGCCACCTCGCCCGGCTAGTTTTTTGTATTTTTTAGTAGAGACGGGGTTTCACCGTGTTAGCCAGGATGGTTTCAATCTCCTGACCTCGTGATCCGCCCGTCTTGGCCTCCCAAAGTGCTGGGATTACAGGCTTGAGCCACCGCGCCCGGCCTATACTACGTTCTTTTTAGAGCAGGGAATTTCTCTTCTCTGTGGAAGAAGAGTAGCCCCTTTTTTAGTGCATGGAAGTAACTGAGCACTAGTACCAAGTGCTCAGAGAGACTTTATGAAAGTGTTTCCTTCTATATTTATACTGTACTAGGATACTAACACTTTTTGCTCAATTTGTGAATTTCTCACAAATAACACTGACAGAGTAGAGGTAATGGTCACTTAGTCTTGGTTTCTAGTATATTGTCTCCTGGTGTAAATATCTGTATAATTCTTTTCTTAGAGTAATATGAACGATATTATTGATTATAATTAAAGTAAGTAATTTGCCTAATTATAAATTGCAGAAGCATTTCAACATGGGAAAATACATTGAAAGTAGTAATTTTATAAAGGATTTTCTGCCTGCCTTTTAATACTTCCTGTCTGAGTACACATTGCTAAAAGCAGATCTGATCTTTGCTTGAACTTGTGCCTATTTAAATAGGACCCTGATCAAATATAACAAGCAATGTAAAAACTAAAAAATTTTATGCCAAGGAAAATAAGAAACTTGTAAGCAAATGTAGGCCCTAATTTAAGGATTCCTAGTTCCTAGGAACCAGTATAAAAATTTCTTAGCTGTAGAGAATTTTAGGACATTTAAGAGCCTAAATTGTTAAATTCCAATCAGAGCAAAGTCCTTTATCCTACACCAGGTTGTGTAATCTTATGGAGATATGACTTTCAAATAAAATACAAGATATTTTGGCTCTTTTTTACATAGTATTTCTTTAATTTCTTCCTTTTTAACTATGGTAATTTGTTTTTGAATTAATGTTGCATAGGAAGATCCTATTGTATGTTTTATACTGATAACATATCTCAGTTAGAACCACTGACCTATCAAGTGTTCAGTTGTCTCATTAGACCATCTTTTTGGACAGTGTAGATCCAGAAGTTAAGTGACCTTTGAAGGAATAATTTTATCTATTTTACTGTTTTGTATGTTCACTATTAACACGTTAAGTTTTGTACATATATATTTTTTAATTGAACAGCCATATCTTTGGACATGTAAAGATTTTTATTTGTTTGTTTGTTTGTTTATGAGACGGAATTTTGCTCTTTGTTCCCCAGGCTGGAGTGCAGTGACATAATCTCGGCTCACTGCAACCTCCCCGTCCTGGGTTCAAGCGATTCTCCTGTCTCAGCCTCCCAAATAGCTGGAATTACAGGTGCCCCCAACCGCGCCGGGCTAATTTTTGTATTTTTAGTAGAGACGGGGTTTCAGCATGTTGGCCAGGCTGGTCTCGAACTTCTGACCTCAGGTGATTCACCCGCCTTGGCCTCCCAGAGTGCTGGGATTACAAGCATGAGCCACTGTGCCCGGCTAAGATTTTTAATGCGCAAAGGACTTCTTGTGAAAACTCAGGTATTTCAAAAACCTATAAAAAAGAAAAATCTTGACTCTCTTTACTTTTTGGATCTATCATACCAGGCCCTTTGAATGACTAACCATAATTTTTTATAACACAAATGGGATCTTGTTATATATAATAGCTCATGACATATATATTATTCAGGATCTTAGTATTTTAAAATTTATTTTCCTATGAATGTCTATAGAGTTACCACATCCTTTTTAATAGCTGTATACTCCTCTGTTACATACATGAACCTTAATTTAATCAGCCCCCTTTTAATCATTTGTTTCCGATTTTCTAATTATAAACAGTATGTATAGAAAATGCTTTTATGGTGGTGGTGT